CGATTCTATCCTGATGAAACCCCTGAAACTGCTGTATGTTGGAAATGGATGTGTTTGCGATTCTGTACTTAGACACTGTAGATACAAGCAATCGCTCAAATACCTATATTTATAATTTTACCAAAATCACAGGATGCCACTTTAGCTACTCAGATCCTGTCACAACTCACCAATTTCTCCAGTCGAACTACACATGGCATCAAGATTTACTGACCACCCCCGCTGGATTGAACCTCACATTGGTGAGAAAACTGCCGCAACATGATGACCTGAATCAATTGCTAAAACAAAGCTGGATTAAGGAGCAAAGAACTCCAATTATCATCCATCATGACACAGAAGAGATACACCATGTCCCAGAGAGAGTGCCGAAGGATGGAAAACATGGGAGGGCAACACGCTGAAGGGTACTTCTGGAAGGAAATGCAAAACATTAACTCTACAAGAAAAACAGGAGCATTTTTTTCCCAGTATAGATTTTATTTCGATTTGATTGCGAGCTTCAACCTATTAAAAAAACCCTTCTGTTAATTTTTACAGAATTCAAGAACACCTGCAGGGATCCTTCACAGGACTCTGAAGTACAGCAAACTGTTTACAGCAAGGCTGATTACACAGCTAAGGCAGGCATCTCTCTGGAGTAACATTTGTCCATAGAGGACAGCAGTGAAAAGCATTCACAACTTCAAATTTTGACCAAATATGTTTTCAATTTATTACAGTATGAGGAAAAAGAAAAACCAGAAGAGAAAAGAAAAGATGAGTAGCTTGGCCTTGGCAGCCTTGAAAACTCCAGCCGGCAGCTGTAAAGTAGCCCAGTGTGTCCCAGAGTGAATCATCACTTGATTCCAGCTTGCAGGCACATCACACTTCACTGAAGTAGCAGCCTGTCTTTAAATGAATTGTGCAAATTCCTTGTATGATCTGTCATGGTGCTTCCCAGCTCCCTCTGCACGCAGGTGGGCCCCTCACACTGCCTGAACTATTGCCATGGCTCAGGGCAGTTGCCTGCACACTCTGCTTGGGGGTTATCGTACCCACCAGCTCCTGCCCTTGGATCCGTACAGCCCTGACACTGCCCCAGGACACTCGGAGGCAGCTCAGCTTCATGCTACACCAAAAAGCTCATTCGCAATTTAAAACCCCCAACACCAGGGAAAGTGGATGCTCTTTGGCTTGGTGTCAGGAGCTCATCCCTTCCTCCCCCTTGGGATTCCCACACAGCTTGCCCAGCAGTGCAGGACAGTCCCTGGTGGGGGCTGAAGCAAGTCCTCGTTCAAGGCATCTCTGTGGAGCACGGCTGAGGCTGGCAGAAGAGCCAACTGCTCAATAACCTGCACACTCCCAGAGACCTCAGGTCCCCCCCGCTCAGCCCCCTCCCAAGAGCCACGTCCAGCGCTCTGGAAGCATCACTGGCGCAGCAGCCGCTTGGCTCCTTCGCCCATAATGCAGCCAAAGGCACAATGCTGTGGGGAAAACCAGACATTTTACCTCTTCAGCCAGTGCTGCACAAGGTGAGAGAAGACACGTTGAAAGCACGGCTGCTTTTTATTAGCTCCTGTACATTTACAGTCTGCAGCATGAGAACCACGGCATCCACATGGATGGCCTCTAACGTCTGCACACATAGCCACCTACTGAATTGCACATAGCCAGGACAACCTCCACGCACATAAAGTAAAGCACTTATCTAAATACCAGTACAGTTTCAGCAGCAAATGCCAAGCTATCCTTGACTTGACAGGGAACCTGGAATTCTGCAGCTAGACAGGCTCATCCAAGACCCTACTTGACTTCTTTGCAAGTAAGTAAATCTGCTTGTGTTGAAGGACCCGACTCCCAGGCAGGTACATACAGGCTTCTGCGGGCACTGAAGATGGAATTAAAAGTTCATGTGCTGCCTGCATGTGCTGTGCAAATGTGTTTGTGAAGAACTGCGTTAAACCTTGGTATTTGCTTCTGAAAGAAACACCTTCCATGAGAAAGAATGTCTCCCAGCCTGTGCACATGCCAATTTTGACTAGCCTCACTTTTACTTTCTAAATTAACAAGTAGCACTAGTAAAGGAACAGATTATTTTCTATTCTTTGCTGGCAGGTCCTTTGACTAACAATACTTGGATGAACCAAGACTTATTCTCCCTCTCTCCTCCCAGCCCTAACCCTGAGTTAACCCTGAATAGCTCATCCCAGATTATTTGTTTTTTCCATAAGAGGCATCCTCATCTTGAGCAACCTCAGAAAGGGAAGAAACAGCCATAACCTTTAATAAACATTCCTAGTCTATATGGTTTTCAAGGCTCAAGAAAGCCACTTGGTTAAGGAACTGGGAGGACCGTGTCCTGCTGCACAGCCAGTGTGCTCCTGAGGCAAGTTGCTCAGCCTGAAGGGGCATCCCTGACCAGTGCGTACAGCAGATTCTCACCTTCAGATTAAATAAGGCACTGATAACTTCTGTAGGTTTCAGTAACAGCCTGCAACAATTTGCAACCTCTTATTCAAAGGGTAATGTGGTGGATAATCTAAACAGGATCTGCTCAGCAGCAATAAGGCCTCTTTCTGCTTCAGGATGAGATGTGACTGTTGTGATTACCCTGAACGCTCATTTTTTTGCGTAAAATGGAACACCGTTCCTCTAATGAGGATTCAAAGTTGGCTTCAAGGCAAAGATTTAAAACCCATTTAGATTTCAGACGTATTATTTTTCGTAGTCCCTTAAAAATGAGCTGCTATAGGAGGGAAGCAGCAGTAGGG